GAGAACTTAAAGTTATTATTCATATTCCCATGTGCGCATGTGTGGAACTGTACAGGACCACAAAGAACTTTAAGGAATAAAATAAGCAATATGCAAAAAATCTGTTCCTTCAGCAAAATGCTTAGGATACTGAAACAATGTCATAATGTCTAATAATGTGCACTTGGCAAGCCAATATTTAAATTTACAGCTTTTCAGGATGGAGAGGCATGGATTTACTGAGGGTATCTCTAACTCCTGCTACCAGGAGGTGGTGTGTTTCCACATTGTACATCTCTGTCTAAACAAGAGTGATGAACACCTGCAGCAGCTTGGGAGTTTTTGCTTTCCATACAATGTGTAGAAAAGTTTCAGTATCATATATTCACCTGAACCAGCGTGACACACCAGATTTCCAGGTCGTGGTAATGTTAGATGTTGAAAGGCCATTTTGAAAATTTTTTTTTCCTTTTCTTACTTTCCTTGGTACTCTGGATTCTGGCTATTTTTAGCTAGTGAAGAGAGGAAGCATGGGCGGGACAATTTGATGCAAAGTCAGCTGTTTGAACCTCAGCAGAGATGCAGACCTTTTAAATGGGTCCAGTCAGGTGAACTTGTATTGAGTCTCCAGCACATACAAATCATATTGTTTTCGTATATAAACTTATGTGATAAAACCAAACTTGAAGGAGTTCAAGATTAGAGATAAGCCTTTGGAAATTAAGTACAATATGAAAATTGCCTACTCATATGCATAATGATATATTCTTGATCACACATAGTTCTGTGGTTTTTGGTTTCTTCTTCCCGGGATCTCTGCCTTGTTGTGTACAGAAGGAATAGTGCTTTTCTAATGAGCAGCTCCCTCCCCCCCCGTCCTCCTCTGTACTATTTTTCATTGTGTAACCCTGTGCCTTACTATATACCATTCAGATCAGGATTTGAGGATGAAGTTATTATTTTCCTCTTTGGCATTTCTGTAGGACTCATCACTACAGCATTTCAGTGCTTCAGATGTTAATTGATTTTCATAACACCCTACTGAGATGGGGAATTATTATTAACCAGGGAAGTAGAGCACAAGGAGATTGAGGTCAGAAGTACTGCTCAATTTGAATGCCATGTTTGAGACACCTGTGACCCGGTTTATTATTTTTTCAGTATTCACATAAAACTCTTGAATTCCTTTAATTGCAACTGTAAGTAATTCTGCATTTCTCCATATTGAGTCAACAGCTGTAATATAGGCAGCTGTATAGTAAGGAAAACTCAGGTGACCACTCATGGAATTTTTTGCGTAAGTGATGTGCCTGGTTTCACGTAAGCAATTTTGGGCAGAAGTGGGGAAAGGATCTGAGTCGTAACACAGCATTGAGATGTTACACCCCAAGAGATTTTTCTTTCTTAATACATTCTTCTGGCTCATACCATACGTATACTCCAGTTCTTGCAACAAAGGAAGCAAGGCTCTACCGACAGGAGTCTCTTCTACTCCCTAACCGTAATTCATCACCAGAATGGGTACACTCATGACGACAAAAGAGTAGAGGTCCTTTTTGGAGTGTGTGTGAAATGTTCTTAATTAAAAAATAGTTCCTGATATACATGCATAAAGATTGCCCTATATTTCTTAATTTTGAGTGCCGATGTACCCTTAATTTTCTTTTAACATTTATTTAATATACACAGTTTTATGTTCTCTTCTGTATTTCTATGTCAGCCTGCCTTCTGGCATCAAATGTCCACATTCAGCAGCATCTTAATAGTTTAAAATGGCAGCAATGTCAAGGAGTTTTTATCCCAGTACAGTTGCTTCACAATTGCAGGAATTTAGCTGTTTTAAAAGTGAGACGACTCAAAGTAGAGAGCTTGTTCAGTAGGATGTTAGCTGTCATATAGTTGACATATGAAGATAATTCTTTTCCTCAGTAGAATATTGTTTCTCTGAGTTGGCAGCACAGAAATGATTATTAGAAGCGAGAAAGATTAAAACTCTGAATGCTTTGATAGCCATCTCACCTTAGCTTTTTTCATAAGGAATTAACTAATCATGACTTTCAGAAGAATAAAAATCGTCTGAAAACCTGAATTAGGACAACCATAAACTCATCTGCTGTGGTACTCCTGAGAACAGCACTATCAACAACTATCTGGAAAAGATAGAAACTTAACCAAAATATTTTTTATATGTTTTAAGAAGTCATTCTACACTGATCTTCACTCTAGACTAATTTCTTGTTTTTCTTAGATTATGGGTTTATCGTATTTCAGATGGATGTTGCCTTTTCAGAAGGAGTTAATTCTCCTGTCTTTCAGCTTAAATTTTGTTTTGGGTGCATTTAATTGTTTTCTTCTGTTGTTTTGGAAGTATCTGTTGTTAATAATGCTGAATGAAGCCTCTTCTTCAGGCTCCTTTTAACTCGGTAAAAGTGAATTTGCATTTGAGCCTTTACACAAATGTTTTTTGGTCCTACCTTAGACATCTACCTTGTCAACTTCTATGTGCTCAATTATATGTTGGCCTCTCAGTTCAAGAAAAGACAGAAGTAGAGGGAAGTCAAACGCAATCTCCTTTCTTGACAGAAAAGTGATGTATGTGCTGGACGTGGTGGCTTTCCTGTAACTTTCTTTGAAATGCCTGGAACTTTTCAAATTTGTGCTGAAGAATTAATGTAACAGATTTATATAATGGACTCGGTAACTGTGCTGTACCGGTAGATCTTAAATACTGTTTAAGGCATTTCCTCACAATGTAACTAAATTGTCAGATCAATCTGGGAGGAAGACTGCAATTATTTAGCCTCTCGGGTGTTTGAAAGCCATGTAAATGAAAATACTCATTAAAGAAGTCTGATTAGAGAACTGCTTATTATTAATTTTTTATTATTATTCTGTGTTTTGTGCATGTGATTTAGACTCCGTGGTTAGTTTTGGTCAGTAATAGTTGCATGATGCTTACATATCCTGAAAAACATGATGGTAACCTGGTGAAAGCGCAAAAGTGTGTTTATTTTCTCCAGCACTACCAGTTAGCATAATCACTTCTTTTTGTAAGCTTTCCTTTTCTTAGCACATAACAGTATGCCTGGCATTTTACAAAATACAGATCATGTTACTGTCTTGTACTAAAGATGTTATTGTCAAGCAAAGGGAAAGCAACTATTGAGATCACTGAAAATTAGGACATCATAAATGGATAAATTAATGATGGTAGAGATTCAGAGAAGCTGTGAACTTCAGGGAGAGATTTGAGAGAGAAGGAAGAGGAAAACTTCTGTGTGTAAGAACTGGAAGATTGTGCTAAGTGCAGAGAGGGATGTGGAGGAAAGATGAAGCCATAGTTTGATATGGAGGGTTGAGAGAACCAAGGGAAATGAGAAGACAGATGAGAACAGAAGAAGATTAGATTTAAAAAAAAACAACCAGTTGTTTGGGTTTTTTTTACTTATCTGTGATACTCAACTGAGTGCTGTTAGAAAACATTTAAATTTAAAGTGACGTTTGTGCTCGTTGCGACTATAGCTATTTTCTTAGGTGCTATTGAAGTGAATGGAGAAATACAATGATGGGTTTTCATCTCTGAGGTAGCCTGATATAGCCCAGGGTGATGTCTTTGTGTGTATTGGTTATGGATGGGCCCAAAAGGAAACCATAGTTGGGAATTGCTGTGGACTTCTCGCCAAGCCCCCACAAACAGCTGCGTTACGGTATGGCATAGTCTCACCATAGAGGCTTTATGGTGTTAGGAAACCACCCAAATTTGGGAGATTATCTGGTTGCTGACTCTGGCAGGTGTAAAGAAGCTTTTTTATGGAGAGTCCTGGATTACAAACTGCAATCTGAGGGTTTGGAAGCTTTTCTGTAACAGACATACTTTGTTTTCAAGGTAAAAGTATTTAGAAAGGATTTATTTTCTAAGTCACAGGTGAGGATTCTCTTGGCTTTTCCTTGAGGATTACAAAGGTAATAGAGAAAAGCACCCTTTTATATTTACCAACCTAAAGGTGCTATCTCACACTGAGGGTAACTGGAACCTGAAGAGAATTGATTAACTGTTGTAATTCCAGCTTTGACATTTTGATACGACTTTCTCATACACACAGTGGTATTTCTCAGGTCTGATTGCAATGATTTCTGTCTTTTTATAGGAATGCAGTATTGTAAGCAATTGCTTCTTTATCTACAGATCTAGGTGTGTCTAGGGAACAACTCAGTTGCCTAAACGTGGGCATTTGGTGTCATTTTAGCTGTCTCTGGATATGCAGATCATCCACATGGAGCTTGCAGAGATGATGCAGCACTTAGAGCAGACTTGTATCCTTCTGCAGCAGCAGCTGCTTACTGGGCAAGATTATCTTCGGGCTTCTAAAATGGCATTTGACACCAATGTTTAGGCACCTGAACTCATCCCTAGTTGCTAGTCAATGTAAAAATGTAATTGAATTGGAGATGGTAGCGGGGAAAGATACAGGATTTATCTGGAAGTATAACTTTCTGGTACTTCTTCTGGTTTTGTTCTTTCAAAGACCACTTAATAGTAAACTTTGAACATGTCTAAGTAATAGTTCTAATTTGTAATTAACACTGTTTTTATGGTAGACTGATAAACATTTTAAATTAATACCTCTGAGCTTGCAAGAGAGAGACAATCTCATTTTCTTCTTTTCTTTTTTTTTTTTTTTTTTTTTTTTTTTACTCCAAGACAAATACAGTAAGCCGATGTTCTGTGGTAAAAATGCACCTACAATTAAATAACTAGTCATTTCCTGTGAGTGTTAAAGTTGAACTGTAAGCCTGAAGGACAGAAAACATGCCACGTTGCTCTTGTTAAACTGTCAAATTATTACTGCATATGCGACTAGAGGATTTTCAGTTTCTTCTCAAAGCATTTTTAGAAGATGAGTCAGTAAAGCAGTTATCTAATGTATCCACATTGACTGCACAAAGAATTTTATATTCTGTTATGTTTAATTACACTGTTACCAAGCTAATACTTCAGGATTTTTCTCTCTTTTTTACAGGATTCTGCACAAGAGAGTGTCATTACACGAGATATTCATCGTACATTTCCAGCACATGATTATTTCAAAGATAGAGAAGGAGACGGTCAGGAATCTCTATACAAAATCTGTAAGGTACAGTCAGTACTCTGCATTTTAAAGTGTGTTCCATATTTTGCTATGACTGTATTTTGCCCTGCTAACCCTGTTCTGATCCAAGTCACTAATCAATAAGATTTTAAAGCTTTATTTAGATTGCATGTGGAGAGTGTAGTGTTTCTGCAGTACTGGGTATCCTGAAGTACTTTTTATAACCTTGCATTTCTTATCTCCTGAGATGCATATTAGAAGAGCAAGGCTCAAGCTAGCTTTACTAATGGGCAGTTAGATATCAGAGGTCTGTCTCAGTGGAAGCGTGGTGTAGTAGAACTTTCTTTGCTCTGCTGGAGGGGAGGTTTGCAGAGGAAGGGAAACCCTCAGTGCAAGCTCTGCTATGAGAACGTCTCTAGACGGTTATCTAGAGAACAAGTTAGCAGACCTTTTCACAAGCAATGTGTATGTGTAGCTTTTCACTCATAGCTCTCAGATCACCTCTGATCAAAGAAAAATCTAATTTTTTCCAATTTGCACACGGGGAAGTTGAGGTACTAAATGAACAGAGTTGTCCAGCTTGTACAGACAGACTTTTGTTGCTTAAGAGAGATCCAGAAGGTAGAATATTGCAGCTAGATAGGGAGTTCTCTGGCTTTCAGTTGCAGATTTTATTGTGTTTCTGGCAGGCAGTTTTTGTTTTAAATTTTATTTCTACATGTAAAATAAATGACTGCCTTAGACAAAGCCATTTCCATTTCCCTTCCTTTTCCTTGTTACTTTCTTTCTACCTCAGTTGATTAACAGGCAGAAATAACGGAGTTGTTATAACAAGCAGAAAAGAGTGTCCTGCCTTTTGGGTATAATGATACATATTCCTGTTCTCCAGATAAATTCTATGGTGATACAGACACCTATTCAAATAATAATTTGGACGACTGTTAAATATAGCTGCTTAGGTTACATATATTGAAGTTCATTGTCATGAGTAATTCACATTAAAAAAAAGTAAAAAAATAAAGGAGCAGAGAGAACTTTGAACCAATTATATTGATTTCTCACTAATCTTGGAGGGCTCTAGATGGCTACAAGAAAACCGTTCCTGTGCCAGTCTTTGAAAAGAATAACTAGGACAATGCACGTAATTGTGGGCTTGTCAGTTTGATATCAGTTAAGTGAAAAATGATGGAATAACATTCAGCTTGTCAAGAATTAAATGTGAGAAGTATATTATAATGAATGCCTATGAATTTACTGAAAATAGATTTTGACAAGCTAATACAAAAGAAATAAAAATACAGATTTCACCGTTGAAGGTAATTTTATCGAAATTCTGTAGATCGTGTAGTCTGCCATGCAAAAAAGATATAAACGCTGGACAAGTTAGAACATGAACAAGATACACATTAAAGAATTAAAGCTGGCTGGGTAGCAGGTTACTAAACATCAGCACTGAATAAATGTATTTCAAACAAGGCGTCATGAAGATCGCTTGTTCATTTCATGTACTCTGGTTAGTCACCTAAAAAAACCCAGAAAAATAATTTCTGATAAAGATAACTTGATGACACAGAGAAAAAGGGAATGGTAAATACTAAGGTGTTAAAGGATGTATAGACAGATGAATCTTGTGTAGGAATAGAATGACTTGAGTAACTCAAGTTTTTACAGCTGCTGCAGCTGCTTTTGATTACTGTGTCCATGTCGTGGTTTAACCCCAGCCGACAACTAAGCACCACACAGCCACTCGCTCACTGCTCCCCGATGGGATGGGGGAGAGAATCAGAAGAGTAAAAGTGAGAGAACTCATGGGTGGAGATAAAGACAGTGTAATAAGTAAAGCAAAAGTCGTGCGTGCAAGCAAAGCAAAACAAGGAATTCATTCACTCCTTCCCATCGGCCAGCAGGTGTTCAGCCGTCTCCAGGAAAGCAGGGCTCCATCTCGCGGAGCGGTAACTTGGGAAAACAAATGCCATCATGCTGAATGTTCCCCCTTTCCTTCTTCTTCCCTCAGCTTTATGTGCTGAGCATGACATCATATGGTGTGGAATATCCCTTTGGTCAGCTGGGGCCAGCTGTGTCCCCTCCCAACTTCTTGTGCACCCCCAGCCTCCTCACTGGTGGGGTGAGGTGAGAAGCAAAAAAGGCTTTGACTCTGTGTAAGCACTGTTCAGCAATACCTAAAACATCCCTGCGTTATCAACGCTGCTTTCAGCACAAATCCAGAACATAGCCCCATACTAGCTACTATGAAGAAAACTAACTCTATCCCAGCCAAAAGCAGCGCAGTCCAGAATTAAAGACAACTACTTCTACATTGGAAAGAATCTATAGAAGTTCCATGAGGATGATGAAAGGATTTGGGAACATACTTTGGGAAAAAAAATTCTTTTTCATAAATGAGTATCTCAGTCTCTTTTGTTTAATAGAGAGAAGATAAAGGAATGAATCTGTCTGAACTAGAAGTGACTTAGAGGAATTATCTGTCTAGCAGGCAGCTTCACAGAGGCAGACATCTCAGACCTTCCTGGGTTTTCTGTAGTAAAAGTGAAGAATTCTACTCATCTTCCAAAGCTGGGAGCCTTCCCTGCTCTCAGGGCCTCTACTGCTCCTGCAGAGAAAGTTGCTGCAGATGTTGGTCCTCTTTTGTTGAAGTATCTAGATCTGAGGCCTGTCAGTGTGTACATCAAGTTGAGGACCGCTTTTCCTGTGAAGCGTTTTGTATTTATCTACAGCCGAATGACCTCTGCCACTTCGCCACTTTCTCTTGATATGAACGTGTTCTGCATAGCGTCTTTGCAGTCAGCTTTTAATTTTCTGCTCCAAACAGCTTTGTCTCATCAGCAGTCTTTGTTACTGTGCTATTTTTATGTGTTCTGTATGATTTGTGAATATTTTCAACAGCATCAGCCCTAGCACGTCTTTCTGTAAGGTTCTGTGAGTGACCTCACCTTCATTCTGTGGGTGAGAGCTGACTGTTTATTCCTACCTTTTGCTTTCTATCCTTCAATCAATTATTTGAGTGCGTAAGAGGACCTTCTACGGCAGCTTAGTTCCTTAAAAACCCTTTGGGAAGGGAGCTTGTTGAAGGTTTTCTAAAAATCCTAGTAGACTCTATTGACTGCCTCCTTCTTTTATGTGCTCATTGGTTCAGAGAAGGATTTGGGAAGCATTGCTTCCTGGTAGAACAGCCCTATCCAATCTTCAGCATTGAATTATTCATAAGTTTACTGATTTTATTCTTGACAGTTTCTACCTACTTGCCAGTACGGAGATCAGACACAACTGCTGTGTAGATTTCTAGACAGTTCCTTTTCCTTCATCCTTGCACTGTTTTCTTAAATGGCTACGGCTCTGTTCTACAGGTGGCCTGTCTGTGGCCAGGTCTAACTGGACTTTGAATTTATGATTGACCAGTGTTGAGAGTAATCATTGTGGCTGGTTTATGTTACTAGTTTAACTTTTAACAGAGGGGCTGTGCGCTTATGCCCTTCTTCTAATATGAAAGCAAGATATTTGAAGAATGGGATTATTGAATAAGGCTAGAAAAGGTCTCTCCTCAAGTGGGAGGGTAAAAAGCTGAAGAGCATTTTCTTCATGCCCCACTGAAATGAGAGATGATCTGAGCTGTCAGATAAAAAGGAAAACCATTAAAAGCTCACTGCCTCATTTTAACGGGTCTGTCAGTTTTAGTTCCATCTCTTAATCTCTTCTTCAGAACAGTAGGAAATCAGGAAAAATGGAAACTTTTTCAGTTGCAGAACATTTATGTGACAAAGTATCTAAAAATAAACTTTAAGGCTGACAATGGTGATAAGGAAGGAAGAGAGTTCCAGATTCTAGATTGGAGATTTCACTTGAGGACATCGCATAAGCTAGATTTGCACAGAGAAAACATCTTTGGGAAAACAGTTCTGTTTCTTGCACACTTTCTGTTTAAATACTATGCGAATTCTAGCTCTATTTAAAGAGCTCATTCTCTGCGTTACAATGCATAAAAGAATCGTACTCTCGACCTACTTCCATGCGTGCATATGTATTTAACAGCTCGATGCTCCAGGGAAGCAAAGCACTTGGCAGAAATAGTCCTCTCAACTGTTTGGAGTGTATGCAGTGCAGAATTTAATGTGAGCTGTGTTTTCTCTAATTTTCTGATTAAAGTAACTCCTATTCGACAGACAACCGCTGTGACTTTAATAGGAGAAAGGGAGTATGTTGCAGGGAAATCAATCAGGTTAGCTAGGTGAGTGTTCTTATTGGGCAAACTGGAAAAATAGACGCAACGCTTCCCTGTTTTTCTGAAAATGGTTGAATTACTTTCTAGATATTCCAAGTTGGTGTTAGTGTTTTCCAGTAAATAAAGCCATTATGGAAGGATATGAATCATTTGTATCATGACATATTTTGTTACTAAATACTTATCTCCTTGGTTGATCAAATTTGTAGTTTTTTTCCTAATTCTAGTCATACTTGTCTGAAGGTTTTATGCACATGATCAGTGTGACGGCTGGTTTACTGTGAAACGAAACACTCTGTTTTAATTGTCATTCCAATGTCTGTCTGTCTGTTGGTACCCACATTAGTACAGGGAATAATAAACTGTTTTTCTAACAAAGCTAATACTGAATGGACTCCAGTATGAGGTTTTTGGCTTTCTTTGCTGTATAATTGAAATGTGAAAATGTCTTTGAGTTGCTCTTCTGTGACCGGTAACTTCTATACTATGATAAGCTGCAAATGATGGATTACTCTTTGACTCATCCTTCAGCATGGCAGAACTGCTGCTTAGTGCTGTCCTGTAAGCTGATTGTCTAACTTTCATCCCTTTTTTACATTTTCATTTCCATTTCATTGCGGCATTTTTTTTCAGATGATCACCTCTTCTCAGCATGCCTGTATTCTTCCACATTTTTCAATCCTTAGTATCTCCTCAGATTTACAAATGGGAAGTTTTCAGCATTTGTCCACTTCGGTTTAATTATTTGTCAGAGAGCAGATCCCTTTCTTTCCTATAGGAGTCTTATTTGCCAATTTTAGAATAAACG